ATTTGGCAGATGGGGTGGGAAGCTACCAAGGCACTGAGCCCCGGGAGCCCACGTGATGCTGAGGAGGGTCGACCCCAAGCCACTGGCGGGCCCCCTGTGGTCAGGACTACCTTGGCAGAATGTCCTAGCTCACTCTCATGGCCGTCTCCACAAAGCCAGATTTCTACCGGGTTCCGTTTCCACCTAAGGTCAGTGACATTCCTAGGTTTTATACGTGAGTATGGGAGTCGGCATGTCGTTCGCTCAAACACACCAACTGAAACATACCAACACCTCTTCAGTGGACCAGAAAGGCTCACACTCAGATGACTCATGACGTGAACCTGCATATTCCATGGTCTCTGAGCTCTGGAAGTCTGTACCACGTGGGGAAGGGATGCCCGCCGCTGCCTGGCTTCCTTCTCACTCCCCTCGCTTTGGGATCCTAAAAGCTAGTTTTTGTTTTTTTCCTCCCCAACTTTTTGTCTTGGAACTGAGCTTGAGAGCTCACTGTGGACAATTCTGGAGGGAGCAGAGGTAAAGGGATGCAAAATGGAAGCCTCTTAGGACAATGAATGAATAAATGAATGAATGAATGAAGTTGCGACGAGCCCAGTCTGTTTCATGCGGCAGCCATCCCACACAGGCCCACATCTTAGGATACAATTTCCTCTAATTGCCTTTCCTTAGCGCTAACTCAAAGGCCATCGCTCATTAGGGTCATGGCTGTGTCCCCGCCATAATCACCAGCCTTAGTGCTATCTCCATGGCTACACAAAGGGGTGTGGAGAGGAAGGCGGAGTCACTACAGCTGCCTGGGCACCTGCCAGCAGCATTCCCTGACCCCTGTGGGAACACCCATGCTGGGCTTCCTGAGCTCATGAGGGCTCACACATCTGAGTACCCACTTGAGGAATAGTTGCCTTCCTGCTCACTGGTAAGCTCCCCGAGGTAGAGCCCATGTCTCTCTTGTGTGTTGTGTTCTCCCTGGGGCCTGGGCTGGGCTCTGAGAGGATAGGAGGAATATAGTACTTCTCTAACTGGGGCACAGTCCCAGTCTCTCTGGTGGTGTTGAGGAGGAAGGCAGTGGCATGGGGCTGCCTCTTGACCTCAGTTCTGGCCCAACTCTGCAGGTTCTGCACACACACGCACCAGAGCTCTCATGCCTAAGCTGGTGTGTCTGCTTGAGAATCACATTTGTTCTTTATTCTCATTCTCCATGCTGGGGGAACTCCATCCGCAGGTTTATATGTTTGGCTCTAACAAGAAACCTAGGGAATGTGGTGTGTTAGGGGCCTGATCGCTGATGTCAGAAATAGCAAACAGATGCAGCCTTAGCAAGCAGGCTGCCTTCAGCAATGTCACTCGGCATCTGCATGTCATAGAAGCCAGAGTTCCTGGGGTGCCCACTCCCACAAGGCAGAGACGTCATTTACATACACAAAACACACAACATGGTCTAATGAAGGTGATTACCTGACGTGAACCTTTTGTTTTAGAAAATGGATAACTGTGGCCGCGAAACAGCTTGCTCATTCCTTTGACAGGGTGCAAATGGGAAGACATGTTTCCATCCTGACAGCTGCTGGATGAAAGCTCCCGGCTCTTTGACAAGGTTTTATGCTGTGCATGAGGGCAGGGCAACTTGACCTGAGTCCAAGAGTCTCTGAGCTGAAGGCAAGGCTTTGTGTGTAGGTGCAAAAAAGTTTGTCAAGATTGTTATTTCTTGTGGTTGGGCTTTTCCTTCCCTGCCCTTTTGCCCACAGGTTGCAAGTGAAGTTTGTGACTTTCTTTATTGGCCTTTCATTGGAAAATAAGTGCAGGTGGTTAGAAAATGCAGGTGGTTGGGGAAGCCCCAAGTAGTGCCTGGTGCCTGCACCTTGTGCCAGCGGTGGGCTGGGGGTAGGGGCTCAGCAGGACCCAAAGACACTATTTCTGCACCGTGAGGGCTCTTCAGAGAAAGCGTTTCAGCTCACAGCAGAGGCAGAGCCTTAACAGCCCAGGGCACAAGGGCTCATCGTTGGGAACGCAGGCAGCAGCCAGGCTCCATCGGCAGGGCTGGCTGCAGGGCATCAGACACAGCCCCCAAGGGAGATGTCCTGCAACCTGAAACCCTCCAGGCACTGAGCTCCTGCACAGCCCACATTGGAGCGTGATGTGTGCACTGCGGTTCTGGAATTAAAAGACCTGCTTTCTCTTCCCTAGTTGCAAAGATATGTAGAAGACCTGAATTTTAAATTGAAGAGCAAAAGTAAACATGCGCCATAGCAATGACAGTTATGGAAGCACCCCCTTCCAGTCCCTCAAGTGCAGTGCTGTTCACACTGAGGAAATAAAAGTTACAGAAGCAGAGGACAGACAGTCAGAACGAATGTGCTTTGGCTGAAGTTGTCACCATCCGAACTGAGGTCCAGCCACCTTGTACCACCGCTGGGTCACACATCCTTAGGTAGAATGGTCACTACCAAGTGGCCAAGTCAAAGGAACTGGCTGTCAAAGGACCGAGCGCTGTTGATCCACATGTAAAGGTCATGCCGCTATGGTTTCGTGATGAAAAATGACCAGTTTGTGGAGGGACAAAGTCAATTTACGTTCCATGGGTGTTAGTGTTTAGTGCTGAAACCCCCCAGCAATTCTTTCTGGTGGAACCCCTGCCCTGCAGATTGGCCACATTTTGGGGAATGGTTTTATCTGAAGGGAGTGGCTTCTTGTGGAGGTGGCAGAGAGGTTTGGGAGTGGATCCTAGGCCCTGCTTCCTTCTGATGCACCTGGTGGATCCAGGTCTTGCTCTAGTTGGGGGAGTGGCCAAGTTGAGTGTCTCCCCTTCTCATGCCCACCTGAGGTCCCTGGTTTATCCAAGAATGTATCTTAGCACATGCTGGCGTGCTGAAGGCCTGTCCCTCCCTCCCTCCCTCCTCCCTTCCTTCCTTTTTCCTCCTCTCCCTCCTTCATCCCTCCCTCCTTCCTCCCTCCCTCCTTCCTCCCTTTTTTCTCCCTTCCTCCTTCTTCCCTCTTCCCTCCCTCTTCCCTCCCTCCTTCCTACCTCCTCTTTCCTCCCTCCTCTCTCCCTCTTCCCTCCCTCCTTCCTCCATCTTTCCTCCCTCCTTCCTCCCTCTTCCCTCACTCCTTCCTACTTCCTCCCTCTTTCCTCCTGCCTTCCTCCCTGTTCCCTCCCTCCTTCCTAACTCCTCCTTCTTTTCTCCCTCCTCCCTCCTTCCTTCCTACCTCTTCCCTTCCTCCTTCCTACCTCCTCCCTCTTCTCTCTCTCCCTCCTTCCTCCATCTTCCCTCTCTCCTTCCTACTTCCTCCCTCTTTCCTCCCTTCTTCCTTCTTCTTCCCTCCCTCCTTCTTACCTCCTCCCTCTTTCCTCCCTCCCTCCTCGCTCGGTCTTCCCTCCCTCCTCTCTCCCTCCTTCCTCCCCCTTTCTTCCCTCCCTCCCTCTTCCTCCCTCCCTCCTTCTTTCTTCTGCTCACTTGCTCTGTAACAGGAGGTCCAGCTGGAAGCTCCACCCCAGGCTCCACATCAAAAGAGACACACCCTAGGATGTGACAGGGACCTCCCTGCCCCCACCCCCAGCAGCCTTTGCCTGTTTTCTAAATAAGAGAGCAGAACCAACTTAGATGCCTCAAAGCCTGTGCCTTCACAAAGGGTTTGGAGGCTGAGAAGCATTTGGAAGGACTGACAGTTGCTCAGCCTGGGTTCTGTCCACAGAAGGCAGGCATTTGTTTTTCACTCAGGCTGCGGGGGCGCAGCTGCCACGGGACACTGTGGGCTCCATGCATGTCCAGCACTGCGGGTGGATGGCCAGCCGGTTCCTGCCTGGAGAGTCTGCAAGGCGAACGGC